ATAACCTGGATATTGGGAAAGAAAAGAACGAAATTCTTACCTACCATAATTGGAAGTCATGTTCTAAACTGATCAAGCAAGGAAAAAGTAACCTAAGTATAGGCTTTAGGAGCATTTTTGGCCACTGATTAGAGGCCTCTGTCTCCCTTTCAGGCCTTAAGCCAGTAGATTGGTTTTATTTTGTTGTGGGTTATTTTTTTTTCTTTGGCGGTAAGATGGGAGATGAGATTGTTATTGGGTTTTGTTTTGTTTTCTAATTAGGCGATGGGTAGACAATTTGGAGCTCCCAAGAAACAGGTTAGCAGTCAAAAGGGTCTTTAAAAACAAGATTTATTTTTATTTTATATGCAAGATAACACTAGGTAATAATCAGACGTTACCTGTACTGGTTTCTGAGCCTTCTGCTGATGACGTTTTTGTTTTTTGTTCTCAAAGTCCAAATAATGAAGCCCCTACTGCCACCCCTGCTCTCGCAACTCTTATCCTTACCCTGATTTTAAGAGAAATAGACTCATCCACATTCTAGATCCATTTATACTCAAGCTCATGCATGTGATGGGTCTTTCCGCTTCCCTGGGGGAGACATGACCTATCATCCTTTTTCTACCTGACTTTATGGGCTTGTATGTTACCCAACTTATGGTAGGGCTTTTAGGGAATGGGCATATTTTATTTTTGGATAGAAATATAATTTAGCAGCTGGGCACAGTGGCTGGTGCCTGTAATCCTAGCACTTTGGAAGGCTGAGGGGGGTGGATGGCTTGAGCCCAGGAGTTGGAGACCAGCCTGGGCAACATAGTGAAGCCCTGTCTCTACAAAAAAATACAAAAATTAGCAGGGCATGGTGGTGCATACCTGTAGTCTGCTACTTGGTTGAGGTAGGAGGATCACTTGAGCCTGGGAAGTGCTGCCATGGCACTCCAGCCTGGGTGACAGAGTGAGACCCTGTCTCAAAAATAACAAAAAAAAAAAAAAAAAAAAAAAAGAAAAGAAAAAAATCTAAATGTAGCAAGCGTGGGTAAATTCTTATAAAGTAAGATATAAAAATATTGCAAAATATATTGCAAAATATTTCATATTGTTATTCTTTCACCTTGTAACTTATATCAGTTATCTCTTAGGAATGGAATGGGCTGGGTCTTGTGGGGCTACGTTCTTAAAACAAGTACACTGTGTCATTGTGACAGTTTATAAAGTCTGTCTTTTTCCCAGATTAAGGAAGGATCGTCACATGGCAAATGGCCAGGAGCCTTGGCCAGCAGGTGATGGATTTTCCAAAGGTCCTCTGGCACAGCATATTATATAAAAATAGAAAGATAAATACCAGACAAGACAGCTCAAAGATCCGAAGGTGGTTGCTTCCAGGGAACAGGACGGGACCTAGGAAGAGGTGGGGCAGATCAGTTATTTCATGATCAGTTTTTTAAAAATACATGTCTGTGATATTTTGTTTAAAAAACTTAGGTTTAAAGGAATAAAGATATAAGGGGGAGGAATTGTTGATAGAATAAGGTTCCTGAGAAATCAGGCAGTGTCTCCAGAGCCATGGAGAAAGCCCTCTCCCACTGTAACCCGAGGGGAAGGTATGCCCCTCTGCCCCTGGGTGCAAAGAAGTTTTGACGTATGGTTGTGAAAGGTTGAGGAAGCACCTCTTTGATTTTTTTTCGTTTTCTAGCAAATACTGCTTCTTACATCTCACTCTGCTTTCGGGCCCCATTTCCTACCTGTGTTGGTGGCTCTTGCATTCTGGGTCTGTGGGTGATGAAATCCCTTCGTCTGCATGTGCCTCCAGCTGTTTGTTCCCCCACACTCTGGAATTATGGTATAGAATTCCAACTTGACACTTATTTCCCCTTGGCACTTGAAGACATTTTTCCGTTGTCCTTAGGCATCTATGATTACTGATGAGAAGTTGCATCCTTTGTAGGTAATCTGTTTTGTCTCTCTAATAGCTTTAGCCAGGATGTGTCAAGGTGTGAATTTTTTTTTTTTTTATTCTGTTCAGTGTTATTTTTAACTTAAGGACTGTACCCTGGACTGTGGAGGTATCTCTATGGAATGAATTCCTGGTGGCCTCTGCCAGGGCCCATTGGGCTTTATTGAATGAACTGGTTTCTATGTTAATTTCTTAGCCCCCTAACTGCTACCACACAGCTTAGATAGTGCCAGTGTCAAGCCCCACATGTCCAAGCCAGGTACAGGGTTAAGGGCTCAGATTTCTCAAGACTCTTTTTCACCCATGGCCTGAGGTGACTGGCCTCCTCCATAACAACCCCTCCAGTTGGCAAAAGATTTTCTAACTGGACTAGAATTTTTCGGCTCATAGCTTTATGCAGGAAGCCATCCCAGCTCCCTACCACATGGGCTCATGGCCTTGACTTCTGCCCCTAAGGTGCTTTAAATGGCTGACATCTGATGTCTCATCAGCCCAGTTAATAATAATGGTAGTAGCCGGGCGCGGTGGCTCAAGCCTGTAATCCCAGCACTTTGGGAGGCCGAGGCGGGTAGATCACGAGGTCAAGAGATCAAGACCATCCTGGTCAACATGGTGAAACCCCGTCTCTACTAAAAATACAAAAAATTAGCTGGGCATAGTGGCGCATGCCTGTAATCCCAGCTACTCAGGAGGCTGAGGCAGGAGAATTGCCTGAACCCAGGAGGCGGAGGTTGCGGTGAGCCAAGATCGCGCCATTGCACTCCAGCCTGGGTAACATGAGTGAAACTCCGTCTCAAAAAAAAAAAAAAAAAAAAAGGTAGTAAAATGAACTACTATGTACTGAGTGCTTACCATGTGGCAGGCACTGTTCTAGGTGCTTTATATGTATTTATTTATTTTAATCTCATAGCAAGCCTACCAGGCAGTTGCTGTATCACAGTTAGAAGAAAGTGAATAGAACATGTGCTGTCCTGTCTTTCGTGGTTACACCTGGTGTCACATGGCTTTAAACTCCCATTACTCCTGTGGCCCCAGGGGATTTTCTTGCTTGCTTTGAGCTTGGCTCTGGATGTGTACACACCTGTGTATTTGTAAATTTATATGTATATATAAATGTATGGGTGTATAAATAGAATACTTCATTTCTGTCTCCCGTCTCCATCTCCTGATTCCCCAGCATGTCTGCAGTATACCTGCTGTCCTGACCAACCCCCTCCCTGTTCTGATTACTGACCCTTCTTCTGAATGGTTTTTAGGAACTTTTCTTATTTTCCCTTAGTTTTAGAATTTTATGGAAGCCTATCGTAAATCTTCAGGAAGAAAAGGTCAGCCAGCCCGTTTCACTGCTTAGAGGCAGGATTACAGCTACACTAAGGACAGCATTCTTTGTTTTTATTAGCAGGGATTCAGCTTCACTCATTATTTTGACCTAGTAAAATCTTTTTAGAGTGGTGCAGAATCTTCCTTAATTTATTAAGTAATTATTCACCTATAGAACTATAGACAGGATCATAGGTTGTTTGCTGAAAGTTAGCTATTATTTATTGATGTCATTCCAGTTTCTCTACTTGTAATACTTTGTATATGGATGTGAAATGGGAAGAAAAATAAGAAAGAAAATATATTTGTTTGGTAAAATGTCATGGGATTTACAAGTCTGTTTGTTTCATAATTGACCAAATAATATTTCCAGTAATGGTGAGATTTAAGCAAAGAATCAAGCTTGTTTGAAATTTATGCACATGCAGACCCATGTGTACACACACACACACAGTCTCACACACTCACACTCACTTTTTGTGATCAGAAATGCTTTCCCTCTCCTGGTGTCAGTTCTCATGCAGGAGAAAGGGGAGAGGACGCCGCTGCCTCTGCTGTAGCTGGCTGGTAGCAACGCTCGGTGTGGCACAGTAGAGAACTCCTGATGATCAGGCTGCACTACAATTCGATTAATAAGAAATGAAGAACTCTGCTCTTGTTTTGCTTGTCTGAAAGCTCTTATCTGTATGTAACACAGAACTCCCTAGCAACTGTGAATGCCTCTTGTTTCCAGAACTGGGGAAAAGACCATAAAAGCTGTTTTTCACACATGTATGCAAGAACATTCTCCCCTATTCTCAGGATCAGCCTGTCTAAAAAGGCATTCAGGACTTTCCATATCAAAGGTGTTTAGAATTGGCCCTGGAAGCTATGGAGTGAAAACAGGAATGTTGTTTACGACATTTTACAAAACTTTCTTTTATTCACAAGAGTGCATACTATTATTAGCAAGAATAAGGGGAATGAAGAGGGGAAGAAATATGACGTGAATAAATATGATGTGTTGCCTGCCCTCTGGGAACAAACAATGCGAATGCTGTGCTTTCTGCTAGAGATTCCTTCTGGAACATATTTATGCCAATTGCAACAGAAGGGGTCTTGCCTCCCTGAAGAAATGGTGATGTGATGCTTTTCTAAAGTACTTTGGAATTAATTTATTTTTTAGTCCTTATGACAGATTTATTTCAAGCTAGGTAAATCTGCAGTATTCTGACTCTCTGAACATAGAAGATATTGTTAAGCTTTTGTTTTAAAGAACCTAGTAGGTTTAGAAATACTTGTCTAGTCTAGGAAGCATGAGGCTTTCTGAAATGCTTTTCTGACTCTTACTTCTAAACATAATTATAAAAATTGTTTTTAACTGAAAATGTGGAAATGAAACAGAAACTGAAGATAGCATCATTAGGGAAAAGTCCTTAAATGCGTATGTTTATAATCACATCTGTATTTATCTTTTTGTCCATTCACACTTAGATGATGTTTAGTTATTTAACTAAGAAGACAAAATGTGACCATTTTCTATGAAATTTTTTCCATTTCAATGATTTACTTTAAAGTAATCTGAAAGATTTATAATTGCATTGTATTCTCAGACTTTCTTCTTGCCAGTCACTCTCCAAATCATTTCTATAGTTACGTAGTCCATGCCTTTGAGAGGGAGGTGTTTTGTACAGTGACCCTTGTTACCCTAAAAGGGGTATGTGTCTGGGAACTCATACCCACAGATGTGGAAGGTTCCTTTGCAGCTCTCACTCTGCTCATGATCTAAACCTGCCTTGTAATTTTAACTGGATGCCTCTCATGAACATGACTCATGACTATGATGGACTTTTGCATTCAACAGGCAGCATAATCTCACCTCTCTCCCTGTGGAAAGCATTTGACTCCTTCCCTGCCATAGATCTTTTTCTAACTTTCAGTGGATTCTTGAAAGCCTCTCTCTTCACAGCCATTTTCACTTCCCAGCCTCTCTACCAGTTTTGCATGCAGTATTCCCCGCCTGAAACCTAACCATATTAATCATAATGCTTCTACTTTCTTTACTTTTATTTTTTTTAGAGACGGGATCTTACCATGTTGCTCAGGCTGGTCTCCCAACTCCTTGGCTCAAGCAGTCCTCCTGCCTCAGCCTCCCAAAGGGCTGGGATTACAGGCATGAGCCACCATGCCCGGCCTTTACTTTTCATCAGTATATATTTGTTTCATACAGTTGACTGAACGTTTTGTATATTTTATGTATGTTGTTTATAGGGATTTCTGTGTTTGATTATAAGGTTCTAAAGAGCAGTTCATGGATCTCTCTTGGGCCACTTCACAGTACCTTGTCTAGAACATGTGTATAGCACCCCTAATAAATATTTCCCTGTATACTTACATACACTTACATACACACACATGAGGCATCCATATGAAAGGATTTTCCTGTCTAAAACCCTTTAGCTATTTTTTAAACTTCTTTGCGGGATTCTTTTGCCCTGGCTGAACATAAGATAATCTTTTCATGGTTACTCAAGCTTATCAGCAACATCAGTTATCGCTCAGTGTTATAATGGTGGCTTCAAGGTCTATTGAGGTGTATAGAGCTATCTTATCATACAGTGAATGGCTAAAGATAGCCATTGTTTTTAGTTTTCATCTTACAGTGTTTTTCCCTGCTTTTATAGTTACATGCTCCTCACCAGATTTTTGAAGCTGCCATCAGTGTATTTAGTTCTAGGAATCCCTTCTTGCTCATTTTCCACTGCTCAGTGATTATTTCTGATTAGTTCAGAAAGTCAGATTATCAGATTTGTAAATGTAAATAAGAACAAGGCTCTGAGTAAAGACCTGTCCTACAAAATAAAGTACATGGATGATATGAAAGCTATTTAGCATCTTGAAGCTGTCACCATGTGAGACTGGAATAGGAAGAGGTCCTGAAAATCATTCAGTTCTGTTCTTTTAATTTACACATGAGAGAACTGCTGTTGGGACTTGCCTGTGGTCACACAATTACTTAACATTCCACTCAAATTAGAAACAAAGTTTCTCACTTTCAGTTCAATGATTAACTTCCGATCTGTTCCACTATAGTTGGAGTTGCTGGAAGTCACATTTGTGTAGGTGGCTATTATTTTGCAGATATGTATTTATGAGTATGCATCCAAAACATTAACCTCATTAAGAGATGTATGTGTAATACATTTATAGATGTATGTCCACATGCTTATACACATACAGAGGCATTGGCTACACAGCACTGATGCTGATTGTATGCACCACGTACAGCTAGTGCTCGACTTACGACCACGATTGGTTCCGACAGACCGGTCGTAACACGATTTGGTCGTAAGTTGAGTAGGCTATATGTACAATACTGTGAAATGATGTTATAAAAATCTTTAAGTCATGTTTTATCAATTTTCTTTCATTATTGTTATATATCATAATTTTCTTTGTTCATTTTATACCATTTGTATCATCTCTACACCATTTTGTTTCTTATTTTTACATTCGTCAGGTTTAAGTAAAACACTGCATTACCAGTACAACTGGTTTAATATTTGCAAAACATACAAAATTACAAAATACAGGTGCATACAAAAATACAAAATACAGGTGTAAAAAATTCCATAGGAAACATTTTCCCAATTGCAAAACATATCAAAATATATAAAAATGTACGAAACATTTTATTGGCTGCTGGTGCTTGGCTGCGGATCGTTGATGTCCTCACCTGAGGCAGCAGTTGGGGTTACCGGAGTTGGTTTTTTCATAAACATGGTGACCTTTGTCTGAAATGTATGTTTCTTTTTTTCTTCATAAATTTTACGATATGGACGAAACACATCGTGCGCCATCCATTCAATCCTTGCAAATCGTTCGATGTTTGGGTCCATTGCTTCGAAATGTATAAGAAGTTTACTGGGAGGGGTTTGATGAAAAATATCCAAGACACAAAACACAAATTGCTGTACCGAGTCTGGGATAACAGTTGAAATGGTGCACGCGGAGTTGGTAGTGCTGCCGGAAGCTGGTCCGCACTGTCGTACGCCCAGCTGGGCAACGTTTGCGCTGCTAGGCGCGGAGCAGTCGTGGCTAGCGATTGTGGTCGTAAAGTCTAATGGTCGTAAGTTGCATAGGTCGTAAGTCGATCAATACCTGTATTATGATGCCCTCTAGGTGTCAGGTCTAAACCTAGGGAGAGAGCAAAGACAAGATGCTGAGCCAGAAGAAGAAATGAATAAAGGAAATCTCACCTAATTAGCCTCCAGTTCAGGGCCCTGTGCATCAGATTTCTCCAGACTCACCATGAAGAAAGCAGGCCTGTCTATGGGCAGTTCTCAGCTGTACATATCGCTATGCAAATAGTGGTCATGGGAAAATTCTTTTAGAATCTTTCCTGTAGGCTTCATTCTGGCCAGTTTTCTCTACACTGACTTCTAGTTCACTAATTTTCTTTATAATATTCGCTCTTTTACATACCCTTGAGTTTTTTAGTTCACTAGATCTTTCAATTATAGAAATTCTGTTTTTCTCTTAAATCTCTCTATCCTTTTGAATATATCTTGTTCCTTTTTCATGTATTCAGTTATTTCTTTCATAATTTTATAGCTACTTACTTTATAGTCTGTGTTCACTAATTCCATTACCTGAAGTTCTTGGTTGATCTTATTATGCTTTTTGTTTGACTGCTGATTCTGGCTGGTGGTAGATGATTTTCTGGTATATTTTGTAATTTTTTATTATGAAGCCATATTTGACAGGGCTTTATTTAAAGAGTGCATCTCTTTAAAGCGCGTTTGCATTGGCTTTTACCTAATGCTCCAGGTGTAAGCCAGGGCCATTTTCCATATTTACTTCTTAGCTTGAGAGCTTCTGGACCACAGAGTTAGTACATTTGACCCCAGGCCTGTCTGAGAGTAGACTATCAATTTTTAGGGCAGACTCTTGTACCCCTGCCACCCACCAAAAATCCGGGCTGAAACTTCATAGAAGGGAGGGGATGAAGCAAAGGCTGTGAATATGGGTGATTCAGAGACTCAGAATGGGGCAGGGAAGGCACCTTTAACCTCTCTCTGGCCCCCTTTCCCTGTCCCATTAAGAGATCCCTTCCTTCCAATTGTAATTCTTCTATGTTGTTGTATATATATTGTAGTTCCTACTAGGGCCAAGATTGGTGCACATCCCAGTGTCTCTTATCGGTCCTCTCATCACAGATACGGATCAGGTGACTGAGCTCTTTCCATATTCCCCCTAGATGTGCAAGGATGCACTCTTTCACCTATTGCCTTTAAAGATGATCATTTTCCAAAAACAAAAAGCCTCATCCTTAATAAAATGATTCCCTTAACCTTTGTGTAGAAATGATAATGCCATCTCATTCCTCTTAAAGGACAACAAAAAGCAACATGGTAGAGTTGACAGGAGCAGCTGGCTCTAGTGGGAGAAATCAATAAGGAAATCGAGAGTTCACTTTCTTCTCAACCCCAGCCTTGCTGAACCTGAGGGGCCCTGTCTGGCCTCCCCCTGGGCGAATCTCCTGGGTCTGCGGAGCGTCTCCCTGACTCAGCCGTGTTTCTCAGGAACTTGGTGCTCCTTTCCTAGTAATGGAATGCCACCAGGCAGCTTGCTTATCTCCCCACAGATTCCTTTCTGAGCAAGAAACTGCCAGTATTTTTGGGGAAGGGCTTTTCTCCCATTTCTTCATCCTTTTATTGGTTTGTTTTCCCTCAAAAATATGCATGTGCATGAGATTGAGCAACATAATAAGCCCTTATCAGAGAAGACAGTGTTATACTTAGAATTCTTAACTCTTCAAAATGAATTTTTTCATGCAACAAAAAAATCTGCAATGGAATAGTATTCCCTTATCTGTAGTTTCACTTTCTGTAGTTTCAGTTACCCTCAGTCCAGGAGAATAAGATATTTTGAGAGAGACCACACTCAGATAACTTTTATTACAGTATATTGTTCTTTTTTTATTATTGTTTTTAATCTCTTACTGTGCCTAATTTATAAATTAAACTTTATCATACATACCTATGGATAGGAAAAAACATGCTGTATGTAGGACTTGGTACCATCCCAGGTTTCAGGCATCCACTGGGGGTCTTGGAACCTATCCCTCATGGATAAGGGAGCACTACTGTACTAGAAAGAGAGGTAGGAATGTGCAGAAAATAAAGCATGAACACATTACCAAAGATGCCTGAGAGTACAAAAGCTTAGGAGTCTTTGGTGATATAAATATGTAGTAGTCAAAAAAAAAAACCTACCAGTGTTCTGTGACACTATTTTTGTCTCTGCCATTCGAGTAACTCATACAGGCTTTGTTCTGGTGATTTATACTAGAAGCCTATAATAAAAATGCAGCCTGAAATCATGCAGCTGGGTACCATTCATTTTTCTTCCATGGACAGTTCCCGAACTTAACAAATTACAGTGGGCCTGAAAAAGCTCTTCCTTCAAAAGAAATGCATGCCTGGCCATGGCAGCTGCCCTCTTGGGTTTCTTCTGCTTTCTGGTATCATTGGTGATGCTGTGGGGCTTGCTAGATGGTTTTTATGAGTACACAATGTACTACATAATGACATTTCAGGACAACAGATTACATATATGATGGTGGTCCCATAAAATTACAAGGGAGCTAAAAAATTCCTAGGGCCGGGTGATGTCATAGACATCTTGTCATCATAGCATAGTACATGATGGCATGTTTAGTTACACAAATACTTACTGTTGTTGTACAGTTGCCTACAGTACTCAGTACACAACATGCTGTATAGGTTTGGAGCCTAGGAGCAATAGGCTATACCCTATAGCCTAGGTGCGTGGTGGGCTGTCCCATCCAGGTGTTCATATAACAGCAAAGTCTCCAAACAAGGCATTTCTCAGAACATATCTCCATTGGTGTGTGATGCACGACTATACTAGAAAAGAGTTTTCAGGAATACATTGTGCAGTTTTAGTGGGTCAATAAAAATAATACTCCCTTCCCGTCTTGAGTCAGAACCAACAGAGAAATCGGCATAGAAGTCAGACAGATGGAAATGAACATACCAGCTTTATTACAGATAATAGCTTGATTGAAAAATGCAAGTTGATATGTAGCCACATGGTTTTTAGTACTTGCTGCCTCTGTTGAACTCAGCTCTGCAAAACTGCAGGCTTTTCACTTGTAAAGAACGAACTTGCTTATACAGAAAGAGTACCATGTGGCCAGAGTAGAGCAGACTGTCACTGTGGGCTTGCTGCTGAATGAACTCATACAGCCTTTGTCCTGATAATTTATACTACGAGCTTCTATAGGAATGCTCAGCCACGGGAGCCAACCCACCCATATTTGGTTTCGTTTCCCAGAGTCACTTGTCAGAAAAGTCACTCTTTGGGGGTCAGGAGAGTATGGAGTAGAAGGCAAAGTCCTGTCACATGGAAACCTGGGGGCAGGGGAATGACAGTTGCCCAAATTCTGCCCTCAAAAGCATGAGGCCAGTGCCACATCATGTCTGTGAGTAGATGTGAGAAGCTCTTTTTGGGTGATTCTTGTGGAATTCTTTGTTTATACTGCAGGTAGACGAACTTGTCATCTGAGGCCGTTGGCTTGGCCTTTCTTACTTGGCCATTTTTAGGTGGGTTTTCGGTTTCATGTATAATATTGGGGGAGAGTTGGCTATCTTCTACACTGCAGCATCTTGGGGACTTTTTTTCCTCAGCTCTTTTACAAAATCTTGGCAAAGTTAGGAAGTCATTTTGCCATTGGCATACCAGAGATAACAAACGTAGGCGTGGTGATTCTGGCATGGGAAGGTAGTCAGGCTGGGCTCCTCTGAAGAGCATTCTGTTCCTCATGGCAGAGGGTTCTTGCTAGTGAGCCTTTGTATTCCCCAGCCTTCCACCAATGGGTACATCATTATAATAAGGACTGGAGCTGAGACAGGGAGAATAACTGGGAATCAAAATACATTAGTGCCCCCGGGAGCCTTAAAATATTCTATTCTGAATTTTGATGCGCGAATCTCCTTTCACAAGTATAGAAGTAAAAAGCGTAATCAATCAAGGGTCTTTGTCATGCTCTGCAGCTTTCTTAGGAGACGCAGACAGGCAATAATACGTGATTATCAATAGCATTTTGAATTTTCAGTGATATTTACCAACTCATAGGCCATCCCAATGAACAAGGGCAGGGGCTGCAACCCCAGTTGCTAGGAGAAGAGACTTATGACCTTATTGACTTACTCAAGGACACAAGGAGGTCAGGAACTCGGCTAAAAATAGAAGTAAGAATTGCCTTGTCCCCATTCTTAACATAAGCACCAGACTACATTCCCTTCTGCAATGCTTGCTAATTGTTCATTTCTGACAAAACATAGCAGGGAAGTTTTCCTATATAGCTGGTTTTAAACATTTAAGATGCCTGTAGTCACTCATAACCTCTGTTTACTTATCACAGCCAGCTAGCTGTCTTATTTACCTTATCTCTGATTCTTTTTCATTTTTACATCTGTGCAGAGAAGTTAACGTATATGAAAGCACTTCATAAACTCTCAAGTACATGTAAATTTTATTTGGTATTATAATACTTGTATTAGTGCATTTTTACATTGCTGATAAAGACATGTACTGGGCAATTTACAAAAGAAAAAGGTTTATTGGACTTACGGTTCCACCTGGCTGGGGAGGCCTCACCATCATGGCGGAAGGTGAAAGGCGCATCTCACATGGCAGCAGACAAGAGAGGACAGTTTGTGCGGAAAATTCCCATTTTTGAAACCGTCAGATCTCATGAGACTTACTCACTGTCATGAGAATGACACAGGAAAGACCTGCCCCAATGATTCAGTTACCTCCCACTGGGTCCCTCCCACAACGTGTTGGAATTCAAGGTGGGGTTTGAGTGGGGACACAGCCAAAGCATATCGTTCCACCTATGAATTCCTCACATTTCAAAACCAGTCATGCCTTCCCAATAATCCTTCAAAGTTTTAACTCATTTCAGCATTAACTCAAAAGTCCACAGTCCCAAGTCTCATCCAAGACAAGGACAGTCCCTCCACCTATGCCTTGTAAAATCAAAATTAAGTTAGTTACTTCCTAGATACAATGAGGGTATAGGCCTTGAATAAATACAGCCATTCCAAATGGGAGAAATTGGCCAAAACAAAGGGGCTACAAGCTAGCATGGTAGTCAAATCTTAAAGCACCAAAATGACCTCCTTTGACTCCAGGCTTCATATCCAGGTCAAGCTGATGCAAGAGGTCTTGGGCAGGTCCATCTCTGTGGCTTTGCAGGGTACAGCCTCCTTCCTGGTTGCTTTCATGGGCTGGCATTGAGTGTCTGCAGCTTTTCTAGGTGCACAGTGCAAGCTGTCAGTGGATCTACCATTCTGGGGTCTGGAGGATGGTGGCCCTTTTCTCACAGTTCCAGTAGGGACTCTCTGTGGGGGCTCTAACTCCACATTTCCCTTCCCGTTCTGCCTAGCAGAGGTTTTCCATTTCCATTTGGGCATACAGGTGTTTCCATACATCTTCTGAAATCTAGGTGGAGGTTCCCAAACCTCAATTCTTGACTTCTGTGCACCCACAGGCTCAACACCATGTGGAAGCTGCCAAGGTTTGGGGCTTCCAGCCTATGAAGCAACAGTCCAAGCTGTACCTTGGCCCCTTTTCATCACGGCTGGAGTGGCTGGAATGCAGGGCACCAAGTCCCTAGACAGCACACAGCGTAGGCACCCTGGGCCTGGTCCACAAAACCGTTTTCTCCTAGGTGTCCAGGCCTGTGGTGGGAGGAGCTACCTTGGGTCTGACATGTGCTGGAGACATTTTCCCCGTTGTCTTGAGGATTAGCGTTCTGCTTCTCCTTACTTATGAAAGTTTCTGCAGCCAGCTTTAGTTTCCCCTCAGAAAGTGGGTTTTTCTTTTCTATCACATTGTCAGACTGCAAATTTTCCAAACTTTATGCTCTGCTTCCTTTATAAAACTGAGTTCCTTTAACAGCCCCCAAGTCACCTCTTGAATGCTTTGCCACTTAGAAATTTCTTCTGCCAGATACCCTAAATCATCTTTCTCAAGTTCAAAGTTCCACAGATCTCCAGGGCAGGGGCAAAATGCCATACATAGTAAGAGTCACCTTTGCTCTGATCCCAACAAGTTTCTCATCTCTATCTGAGACCACCTCAGCCTGGACCTTATTGTCCATATCACTATCAGTCTTTTGAGCAAAGTCATTCAACAAGTCTCTAGGAAGTTTCAAAGTTTCTCACATGTTCCTGTCTTCTTCTGAGCCCTCCAGACTGTTCCAACCTCTACCTGGTACCTGGTACCCAGATCCAAAGTTGCTTCTGCATTTTTTGGTATCTTTTGAGCAACATCCCACTCCTGGTACCAATTACTCTATTAGTTTGTTTTTACACTGCTGATAAAGACATACCTGAGACTGGGCAATTTACAAAAGAAAGAGGTTTATTGGTTCCACTGGGCTGGGGAGACCTCACAATCATGGCAGAAGGTGAAAGGCTTATCTCACATGGTGGCAGACAAGAGAAGAGAGCTTATGCAAGGAAATTCCCATTTTTAAAACCATCAGATATCAAGACTTATTTACTATCATGAGAACACCATAGGAAAGACCTGCCCCCATGATTCATTTACCTCCCATTGGGTCCCTTCCATGACACATGGGAATTCAAGATGATATTTGGGTGGGAAACAGCCAAATCATATCAATACTCATATTTTTAACTTTGTGTCATTAAAATGTGAGCACAGATACTTCCACTTCATAGTGGCCAATAAAGTTGGGTTAGGAATGTCAGTGGTAATCACTTATATCACACTTTCCTGAAACAACTTAGGATGGCCTGTATTTACAACAGTATGAGTAACAATTAATGAGAAGTTTTCAGTCATAGATGTTTTTCAGAGAAGCACTAATTGATAAATATACATGTACATTTATATAGTGAGGCAACAGAACAAAGCACTGATAGAAAATAAGACACATACAACTTTGGGGGAAGCTAAAAGTATTTTAAACTAAAAAAGATATAATTGGGAAAAATTATTTTTCTACTAGTTAGAAGAACAGATCTTCCCTTTATAATACAGAATCTACAACAAACTCAAAATGGTAAGAAAAAAACAATCCCATCAAAAAGTGGGCTAAGGACATGAAGAGACAATTCTCAAAAGAATTGGTGTCTATTTACAGGGTTTATATATGGTGTCTATTTGCAGGGTTTATATACTTCTCTATAGATACTGTGGAATTCTCTAACAGATTTTGGTTGCACCATACTTTATTTCATATACAAGGGCCTTAATAATGTCCCATAACTTAATTGAATCTATGGCATAGCAAAGTTTAGGTAGATACCTTTAATATGTAACGTTTTCTTTCTAGAGCTGATTTTCAGCAGCAGTGAATGGAAGTGGCAGGATGTGGGTTTTACAAGTCATCATTAGTTTCTCTTTTATTTTATTTTGCTTTTCCATAAGTTATTGGTGTACAGGTGGTATTTGGTTACATGAGTAAGTTCTTCAGTGGTGATTTGTGAGATCCTGGTGCACCTATCACCCGAGCAGTATACATTGCACCATGTATGTTGTCTTTTATCCCTTGCTCCCTCCTATTCTTCCCCCCAAGTCCCTAACATCCATTGTATCATTCTTATGCCTTTGTGTCCTCATAGCTTAGCTTCCACATATCAGTGAGAATATACGATGTTTGGTTTTCTATTCCTGAGCTACTTCACTTAGAATAATAGTCTCCAGTCCCATCCAGGTCATTGCAAATGCTGTTAACTTATTCCTTTTTATGGATGAGTAGTATTCCATTGTGTGTGTGTGTGTGTGTGTGTGTGTGTGTGTGTGTGTGTGTGTGTATCTCTACAGTTTCTTTATCCACGTGTTGATGGGCATTTGGGTCGGTTCCACGATTTTGCAGTTGTGAATTGTGCTGCTATAAACGTGTCTGCAAGTGTCTTTTTTGAATAATGACTTCTTTTCCTTTGGGTAGATACCCAGTAGTAGGATTGCTGGATCAAATGGTAGTTCTACTTTTAGTTCTTTAAGGAATCTCCATACTGTTTTCCATAGTGGCTATACTAGTTTACATTCACACCAGCAGTGTAGAAACTGTTTCCTGATTGCCATATCTAGACCAACATCTACGGTTTTTTGATTCTTTGATTATGGCCATTCTTGCAGGAGTAAGGTGGTATTGCATTGTGGTTTTGATTTGCATTTCCCTGAGCATTGGTGAGGTTGAGCAGTTTTTCATATGTTTGTTGGCCATTTGTATATCTTCTTTTGAGAATTGTCTGTTCATGTCCTTAGTCCACTTTTTGATGGGATTGTTTTTTTCTTACCATTTTGTTTGAGTTTGTTGTAGATTCTGGTTATTAGTCCTTTGTCAGATGTATAGATTGTGAAGATTTTCCCCCACTCTGTTTACTCTGCTGGACTGTTCCTTTTGCAGTGCAAAAGCTCTTTAGTTTCATTAGGTCCCAGCTATTTATCTGTCTTTTTATTGCTTTTTCTTTTGGGGTTTTGGTCAGGAAATCCTTGCCTAAGCCAATGTCTAGAAGGGTTTTTCCAATGTTACTGTCTCGAATTTTTATAATTGCAGTTCTTAGGTTTTAATCCTTAATCCTGAGTTGATTTTTGTAGAAGGTGAGAGATAAGGATCTAGTTTCATTCTCCTACATGTGGCTAATATTCTAACACCATTTATGGAAAAGGGTGTCCTTTCCCCACTTGTTTTTGTTTGCTTTGTTGAAGATCAGTTGACTGTAAGTATTTGAGTTTATTTCCAGGTTCTCTATTCTGTTTCATTGGTCTGTGTGCCTATTTTTATACCAGTACCACACTGTTTTGGTGACTATGGCCTTATAGTATAGTTTGAAATCAGGTAGTGTGATGCCTCCAGATTTGTTCTTTTTGCTTAGTCTTGCTTTGGCTATGTGGGCTCTTCTTTGTTTCCACATGAATTTTAGAATTGTTTTTTCTAACTCTGAGGAATGATGGTGGCATTTTGATGGGGATTGTGTTGAATTTGTAGATTGCTTTTGACACTGTGGTCATTTTTACAATATCAATTCTACCCATCCATGAGCACGGGATCTGTTTTCATTTGTTTGTGTTGTCTATGATTTCTTTCAGCAGTGTTTTATAGTTTTCCTTTTAGAGGCCCTTCAACTCCTTTGTTAGGTATATTCCTAAGTATTTTATTCTTTTTGCTACTATTTTAAAAGGGGTTGAAGTAACCAAAACAGCATGGTATGGGTACCGAAACATATATAGACCAGTGGAACAGAACAGAGGCCTCAGAAATAACACCACACGTCTACAACCATCTGATCTTTGACAAACTTGACAAAAACAAGCAATGGGGAATGAATTCCCTATTTAATAAATGGTGTTGGGAAACTAGCTAGCCATATACAGAAAACTGAAACTGGATCCCTTCCTTATACAAAAATTAACTCAAGATGAATTAAAGACTTAAACATAAGACCTAAAACCATAAAAACCCTAGAAGAAAAGCTAGGCAATATCATTGAGGACATAGGCATAGGCAAGGATTTCATGACTAAAACACCAAAAGCAATGGCAACAAAAGCCAAAATTGACAAATGGGATCTAATTGAACTAAAGAGCTTCTGCACAGCAAAAGAAACTATCATCAGAGTGAACAGGCAGCCATCCGAATGGGAGACAATGTTTGCCATCTATCCATCTGACAAAGGTCTAATACCCAGAATCTGCAAGGAACTTAAACAAATTTACAAGAAAAAAAAACCCCATCAAAAACTGGGTAAAGGATATGAACAGACACTTCTCAAAAGAAGACATTTATGCAGCCCACAAACAGGAAAAAAAGCTCATCATCACTGGTCATTAGAGAAATGCAAATCAAAACCACAATGAGATACCGTCTCACCCCAGTTAGAATGATGATCATTAAAAAGTCAGGAAAGAACAGATGCTGGAGAGGATATGAAGAAATGGGAACACTTTTACACTGTTGGTGGGAGTGTAGATTAGTTCAACCATTGTGGAAGACAGTGTGGCAATTCCTCAGGGATCTAGAACCAGATCTAGAACCATTTGACCCAGCAGTCCCATTACTGGGTAAATAAGCAAAGGATTATAAATAATTCTACTGTAAAGACACATGCACATGTATGTTTATTGCAGCACTATTCACAACAGCAAAGACTTGGAACCAGTCCAAATGCCCATCAGTGATAGACTGGATAAAGAATATGTGGCACATGGAACCATGGAATACTATGCAGCCATAAAATAAGCTTATGTCCTTTGCAGGGACATGGAAGAAGCTAGAAACAATTATTCCTCTGCAAATTAACATAGAAACAGAAAACGAAACACCACATGTTCTCTCTCATAAGTGAGAATTGAACAATGAGAACACATGGACACAGGGAGGGGAACATCACACACTGGGGCCTGTGGGGGGTGGGGGCTAGGGGAGGGATACCATTAGGAGAAATACCTAATGTAAGTAATGGGTTGATGGGTCCAGCAAACCACCATGGCACGTGTATACCTATGTAACAAGCCTTCACATTCTGCACATGTATCCCAGAACTTAAAGTATAATTTTTTTAAAAAGGGCAGGGGAGTTGAGTTTTTTTTTTCTTTTTAAACCGCAATTAGAGTTTTTGATTTGATTCTTCACTTGGTTGCCATTGTTCTATAGGAGAGCTACTGATTTGTGTACATTAATCTTGTATCTGGAAACTTTGCTCAATTCTTTTATCAGTCCTTGGAGCTTTCTGGAGGAGTCTTTAGGGTTTTCAAGGTAAAATAATCATATCATTAGCAAACAGGGACAGTTTCACTTCTCTTTACAGATTTCGATGCCCTTTGTTTCTTTCTCTTGTCTGATTGCTGTGGCTAGGACTTTTAGCACTATGTTGAAGAGGAGTAGCGAGAGTGGGCATCCTTGTCTTGTTCCCATTCTCAGAGGGAATGCTTTCAACTTTTCCCTAGTCAGTATTATGTTGGCTGTGGGTTTGCCATGGCTTTTATTACATTAAGTTAGGTCCTTTTATGTCGATTTTGCTGAGGGTTCAATCATAAAGGGATGCTGGATTTTGTTGAATGCTCTTTCTGCATCTCTTGAGATGATCATGTAATTTTTGTTTTAAATTCTGTTTATGTGGTGTATCACATTTATTGACTTGCGTATGTTAAACCTGTTCTGCATCCCTGGTATGAAACCCACTTGATCATGGTTGATTATCTTTTTGATATATTGTTGGATTCAGTTAGCTAGTATTTTGTTAAGGATTTTAGCATCTATTGTTCATCAAGGATATCTTCTTTTTTGGTTGTGTCCTTTCCTGGTTTTGGTATTAGGGTGATGTTGGCTTTATAGAATGAATTAGGGAGGGGTCCTTATTTTTCTGTCTTGTGGAATAGTGTCAAAAGGATTGATACCAATTCTTTGAATGTCTGGTAGAATTCTGCAGTGAATCATCTGGTCCTGGACTTTTTTTGTTGGCAATTTTTAAATTACTGTTTCAATCTCTCTGCTCGTTATTGGTCTATTAAGGGTATGTAATTCTTCCTGATTTAAGCTAAGAGGGTTGTATTTTCCCAGGAATTTATTAATCTCTTCTAGGTTTTCTAGTTTATGTGCATAAAGGTGTTCATAGTAGCCTTGAATGATCTTTTGTATTTCAGTGGTGTCAGTTGTAATATCTCCTGTTTCATTTCTCAGTGAGGTTATTGGAATTTTCTCTCATCTTTTCTTGGTTAATCTTGCTAGTGGTCTATCAATTTTATTTATCTTTTCAAAGAACCAGTTTTTTGTTTCATTTATTTTTTTGTATTTTTTTTTGTTTCAATTTCATTTAGTTCTGTTCTGCTCTTGGTTGTTTCCTTTCTTCTGCTGTTTTTGGGTTTGGTTTGTTCTTGTTTCTCTAATTCCTTGAGGTGTGACCTTAGATTGTCTGTGTTTTTTCAGACTTTTTGATGTAGGCATTTCGGGCCATGAACTTTCCTCCTAGCACCACCTTAGCTGTATCCCAGAGGTTTTGATAGGTTGTGTCATTATTGTCATTCAGTTTGAATAATTTTTTAATTTCCATTTTTATTTCATTTTTAACCCAATGCTCATTTAGGAGCTGGTTATTTAATTTCCATGTATTTGTGTGGTTTTGAAGGTTTCTTTTGGAGTTGATTTCTAGTTTTATTCCACTGTGGTTTGAAAGAGTGCTTGATATAATTTCGATTTTCTTAAATTTATTGAGGCTTGATTTATGGCGTATCATATGGTCTGTCTTGGAAAAAGTTCCATGTGCTGTTGAATAGAATGTGTATTCTGTGGTTGTTGGATGCAGTGTTCTGTATATATCTAAGTCCATTTGTTCCAGGGTAGAGTTTAAATCCATAGTTTCTTTGTTGACTTTCTGTCTTGATGACCTGTCTAGTGCTGTCAGTGGAGTTTTGAAGTCCCCCACTATTATGGTGTTGCCGTCTGTCTCATTTCTTGGGTCTCTTAGTAATTGTTTTATAAATTTGGAAGCTTCAGTGTTAGGTGCATGTATGTTTAGAATTGTGGTGTTTTCCTGTTGGACCAGGCCTTTTACCATTATATAATGCCCCTCTTTGTTTCTTTTAACTGCTGTTGCTTTGAAGTTTGTTTTGTCCAATATAAATATAGCTTCCCCTGCTCACTTTTGGTGTCCATTTGCATGAAATGCCTTTTCCACCCCTTTACTTTAAGTGTTTGTGGGTCTTTATGTGTTAGGTGAGTCTCCTGAAGGCAGCAGATAGTTGATTGAGTTCTTATCCATTCTGCAGTTCTATATCTTTTTAAGTGGAGCATTTAGGCCATTTGTATTCAGTGTAATTATTGAAACGTGAGGTACCATTGCATTCATCATGCTCTTTGTTGCCTGCGTAATTTGAGTATTTTTGTTCATTTGCTTTTCGTTTTTTTTTTTTTTTTAATTTGTATTTTTATTTTATAGGTCTTGGGTGATTTATGCTTTAAAGAGATTTTGTTTTGATGTGTTTTCAGGGTTTGTTTCAAGATTTAGAGCTCCTTTTAGCAATTCTTATAGTGGTGGCTTGGTAATGGTGAATTCTCTCAGCATTTGTTTGTGTCAAAATGACTGTATCTTTCCTTCATATATGATGCTTGGTTTCACTGGATACAAAATTCTTGACTGATAATTGTTTTGTTTGAGGAGGCTGAAGATAGAGCCCCAATCCCTTCTAGCTTTTAGGGTTTCTGCTGAGAAATCTGCTGTTAATCCAAGTTTTCCTTTATAGGTTACCTGGTGCTTCTGTCTCACAGCTCTTAAGATTCTTTCCTTCATCTTAACTTTGGATAACCTGATGAGAGTGTGCCTAGGTGAAGATTTTTTGGTGATGAATTTCCCAGGTGTTCTTTGTGCTTCTTGTGTTTGCATGTCTAGGTCTCTAGCAAGGCTGGGGAGGTTTTCCTTGATTATTCCCCCAAATATGTTTTCCAAGCTTTTAAATTGTCTTCTTCCTCAGGAACACCAATTATTCTTAGGTTTGGTTATTTAACGTAATCCCAGTCTTCTTGTAGTCTTTGTTCATTTTTTCTTATTCTTTTTTCTTTGTCTTTGTTGGATTGGGTTAATTCAAACACCTTGTCTTTGAGCTCTGAAATTTCTTTCTTCTGCTTGTTCACTTCTATTGCTGAGACTTTCCAGAGCATTTCCCACT